AATTTTCTTTTCATGGCAAGTGTTCGCAGGTCGTGTTATTCTTGTGAGTAATTGGAACAGTAATGAGAGATGGATACCACGGAAATGTGGAGATGACAATTTTAATAGCAGTTTTCAAGTGGTTTCAATGCATTTGGAGAAAATGAGGGGAATTTATTTGACAAATAGGTAAAACAACTTCACGAAACTTTTACATTCTTTCCAGAGAAAAATATGGGGAATATGCCAAATCCAGAATGAGAAATCGAACATGACGGTTATCTCGAACGAATGGACATAATAAGGCGGTTTTCATGAGTACAATCGTCTTGCGTCGAATTTTCATGAAGCCCGCCTAACGAACAAAAGAGAATTCAATACCATTCTATGGAACATGAATAAATGAATCATAATTGTCCAAATCATTTAGGTCAGAGGAAAATAGAATAATTCTACTTTCTTAATATTGCGTTTACTAAGGTTTTCTTCGAACAAAGTTGATTAGCATTGATAGCTGGAATTATGAGATTATCTCACATTTTTAGCGTTACGGATAGGAGAATCTGAATGCAATATAGTGAGAAAAGAGAACTGAATACCATTCTATGGAACATGAATAAATGAATCATAATTGTCCAAATGATTTAGGTCAGTGGAAAATAGAATAATTCTACTTTCTTAATATAGCGTTTACTAAGGTTTTCTTCGAACAAAGTTGATTAGCATTAATAGCTAGAATTATGAGATTATCTCACATTTTTAGCGTTACGGATAGGAAAATCTGAATGCAATATAGTGAGAAAAGAGAACTGAATACCATTCTATGGAACATGAATAAATGAATCATAATTGTCCAAATGATTTAGGTCAGAGGAAAATAGAATAATTCTACTTTCTTAATATAGCGTTTACTAAGGTTTTCTTCGAACAAAGTTGATTAGCATTAATAGCTAGAATTATGAGATTATCTCACATTTTTAGCGTTACGGATAGGAAAATCTGAATGCAATATAGTGAGAAAAGAGAACTGAATACCATTCTATGGAACATGAATAAATGAATCATAATTGTCCAAATCATTTAGGTCAGAGGAAAATAGAATAATTCTACTTTCTTAATATAGCGTTTACTAAGGTTTTCTTCTAACAAAGTTGATTAGCATTAATAGCTGGAATTATGAGATTATCTCACATTTTTAACGCTACGGATAGGAGAATCTGAATGCAACATAGTGAAAATGATGATCGATTTTTTCACTTTGAACAAATGATATTAATATCTAAATACGAAATTTCTGATATAAATAAAAAGAAGCTGTGATTCAATATTCGAAATGAAGTTTCAATTTTTAATTTGGTGCTGACAACACGAGATGACAATATTCTAAGCACGGAATTATATTGATGAGATGAACAACAGATTAATTGAATTACTGTGTGAACAATCTAAAAATTGATAACAATGTGGGCACGCACTTTTACCAGAGTATGAACAAACGTTGAATTTCAGAAATTCACACTCTAAAGTATGTTCTAGAAGGAATTGAATTCTAATTATGATTAAAATCTTATTCAGTGAGCATAGAAATTAGAACATGAGCAAATCATTCATTGTAACGTGAAAATTTAACAGCTGATAAATTGGGACATATGATTCTCATCGGTCGTGCTGCTTTTTGCAATGAAAATGATTATAAACAATTAATTGAAAAATATCATAATGAAAAGGCAACCGCGCTAGTTTTATAAATAACCCTTTGAGGCACTCAAAATGAGAACCAGACGTCTTAAAACCCACAAAATTGTCTTAATTCCCTCCATCCCATTAATCCCCTCTCCAACCTGATTCCCCTCCACCTCCCAACTCCTCACTTCCTCGATTAAAAGCCCGTAATAAACCAAGCACTCCCTCAAAAAATTAAACCCCCTACAATATGAATAAATTAAACATCCCCAGAAGTACGAGAAGTACGTGGGGGCATAAAGCCTTTAATTTTCCGGAAAATAACATGGTCGGTGATCCATGGTTTATATCGTCCAGGTGGAGATCCTCTCGAGAACCCCTCGGCGGGGGGGGGGGGGGGGGAGTGCTTAAAGAGCATTCGCTGCGGACGAGACTCGATACTCTTCTATACCCCCGAGTATATACCGTCCCTGGAATGAGCGAGAGCGGACAGTGTACACACAGACAGACGAAGGCACGTGAATGAGCACACGGGAGTGGGTGAGACGAAGGGGGGCTGGGAGTTAAGTGCCTGGAAGCGGCAACGTGTCCGCCGGACTGGAGAAGAGCTTTGGCCCCATGGTCCCAGTGTAAAAGGCAGCCGTTAGTTTGCAATTCGCATAAAGCAGATTCTCACAAGGCCCTTTTACACTGCCTCCCCCCCGCATCCCCTCATCACCGATGCTTCCTCACATTCTCCCCCGCAGGCCCTCCTGCCTATCTCAATGCCTTCACCCGGTTCACTTCACTTCTATAATGCGATTCGTGCCATTTGGATTGTTTATATGGTTTGTCCGTGTGCTTCAGCGTTTAATTAGTCTCACTACGAGCTTTCGGCTTAACTCAAGAAGGTAGGATAGTTTTGAGGTTAAAAGAGACGACGGGAATTGCTGGGTGAAGGGTTGAGGCCGGAGGGAGAGGGAGTTCGACGTCGTCGGAGTTTCGCTGGAGCTGAATTCATTGATGGGGCGGGGGATTTGGGGGTTAGGGGGGAAGATTGTACTGGGTGGTGTACATACCAGTGGAT